TTTTGCTTAGAGCTTTATATTGGGAAGGTTGGTGTGCCTCTTTAGCATTATCTTGGAGGTCCAATTTTGAGCTTTTCTCTCTGGAGTTTGGAGCACTTTTGGAGGCCAAGAACACTTGAAGAACATCTTCTTTTCACCTCTTGAATCTTGTCAAATGTCTAGGTAATCTCAAGCTCCTTGGATTACTATAACCAAATTAAGGATTTAAATCAAAGTATTGCACTATTGGATTCTAATGATATGTTCATCAAAAGTCAAAGTGAGGAAACTTTAAGTCAACCATCTCTCCCTTATTGATTTTACATCAAATTCTTATTTTTGTTGCAATTGTCTATTTAAATCATAGTTAATTCTAGTTTATTTCAAGTATTTCAAAACATCAAAATCCCCATTTTTAATTTATTGTCATATTCCAAGTATTTTTACAAAGAGATTTTTCATAGAGTTATCAAATTGAACCAATCTGCGTGGATTCGATCCCTTTACCACTATAGACTATTTTAGTGTGTAATATTTAGGGTTATTATTTGTGTTGGCCTCGACAACCACCAATCCCCCATAAATTCCTTCTCTAAAAATCTCTGAGTCTTGCGACTACATCTGACATCTTACCAATAATACTCTTAAATGCTCCCGACCTCCCTCTCAAGGGATGCCTCTACGGACTCAATCATGGCCCTCAGGCCTAAAACTCCATCGCGTCCAAACTCCACCAATCAATCATGATCGGACAACCGGAGAATCGCAAGCATCAATTGATAAGAACCATTGTACTCAGCCCCTGACATCTCTTCTCAATCTGCTACGATGCATGGTACTCGAACCATGACATCACTCCTCAATCTGCTACGATGTATGGTACTCGAACCATGGCATCACTCCTCAATCTGCTACGATGTATGGTACTCAAACCATGACATCACTCCTCAATATGCTACTTAGAACCTTCAGAATACTCCCTGTATCGAGTATGGGTCCTCTGCTTTCGGTAGTACGGGCCCATACTACCTGCCACATCTACCCATACTTTCCACACAGACCGTCCCAGAGCTCCTAAGTAGTTGCTCAACTTTCTCATTCACCAATTCTGCCATGCGTGCTCGCTCCTCAGCGAAATGCTCTACTCCACAAGCGTACTCATCTGGCTAAGGTCACTCCCACTTCTCCGCCATCAACTGCTGAAGAGCTCCTAATGATTCCAGTCATCTACCTCCTGAATATTGTCATATTCACTTGGTAGCTGACTCCCATCATCGAGAGTTCCACAAAGCATGAAGCAAGCAGCATTTTGGCATCAAAGAATACATAGAGCTCACTCTGGATGGTAACTCCGCTTGCTCTGCTCATTCTCAAGGTACCAACGAACTCTGCAACTCTGCCCCTTGCGGGTTCTAACTATTCTTCGATAAACACCACAATACTCATCAAGGCATCTGTTCTAGATTACTCTTCTACTCAAATCCCTTAAAAGGATTCCAACTGAATACTCTCACTCATACTCAAAAGCACATCACATATAACAGCAACAACTAGACTAAGGCATCACAAATCAGGCCACTCTAGTCCTAATATATGGAATACCTAGTCTGTCTCTAGCATGCATAATATCTTATAAATGTATCATAAATATCTCATAACACAAAAGTAATGGTATTTTGGGAAATCACCGTTCGGGCTCTGGCTGATTGTACACACTGCTCTTTCTCGCTTCCTCTTTGAACTCTTATTCACTTTTAGAAAATCATTTCTTTTGAAAACTTTTCGTACTTCCTCAACTTGAGTCCAGATTTACCCGAAGGTGCATCCAAATCCCTCGAACCAAGGTTCTGATACCAACTTGTAACACCGTAATTTTCAAACAAATTTTTTTGAAAATTAAAATAGTTTATCTCCTTAACGTTTTTCATAAAAATCCCATTTGTTTAATTTACAATACATAAATCTTTTGTTCAATCAATTTATAAACCAAGATCCTCAAACAAATGCTTCCCCCAGTGTGTACAATCGAGCCAGTGCCATCCCGTGAACCTGAGAAACCTGAAACACATAACACAAAACACAATAAGCACGAAGCTTAGTGAGTTCCCCAAAATACCACTCTATCACATATTAGCCACTCAAGGCTATAACTCTGTTGACCCTCTGGTCTGTGTGTCTCAGTGGGACCCTCCAGTCCCAACTCTCTGTGGACCCTCTAGTCCTAACTCTATGGACCCAAAGGTCCTAACTCTGATAACTCAGAATCATGCATATCACATATCACAATAAATCTTAGAAAATAAATAGCATACAATTACACTAGCACATAACTATAAACCTAACTCTGTAGATCCTCTGGTCCTAGCTTTGTGGACCTTCCGGTCCTAACTCTGATATACACACAGTATAAATCACATAGAAATAATGCAATGCCACACATAGCATAGATAGCATACAATAACTCTATCACATAACTCTATTACCACTCTAGCTAAATTATAGTGAGAAGACTCACCTGCTACTGCCGACTGAAGAATGAGATCATGCTGCTCAGACCACCATCACAAACTCCACCACTAAATCACCGAAACCAATAAATACTAATAACAACCAAAATACCCCTGGAAGTCAACTGGTCAACTCTTGGTCAAAGTCAAAATCCTCAGTCAAAGCCAACCGTCCTGACTGACTCTACTCGCCGAGTCAACCCATTGACTCGTCGAGTCCCCATGCTCTAAAACTCCTATAACATGACTCAACTCGCCGAGTCACCCCAAGACTCGCTGAGTCCCACAACTCTGAGTCAAACCGTACTCAACTCACTGAGTCATCCCTTGACTCACTGATTCTCAGCTTAACCAGAAAAGGTTAGGACCTCAAGACCAACCTCGCCGAGTCCAAGAACAGACTCGCCGAGTTGTTCTTCCAACTCGCCGAGTTGTTCTTCCAAGGCTATCTTCAACCAACTCGCGAGTTGTTCTTCCTACTCGCCAAGTTTCTTCCTATCTTCATGCAACTCGCCGAGTACACCCATGTGATTCGCCAAGTACCATTGGCTCTTAACCCATACAGAGGCTTTCCAAGCCATGCAGGGTCTCCAATCCATAGATCTACTCTTATACAAGCCATCCACCACATAAAATGGCAAACTTTACGTGAATCCAAGGAGATCTAAGCATAATACACCCTTGGGAAAAGGTTTGGGGCGAAAAGACTTCATCAACAGCTCTTGAATAGGGACTTTATGCTCTTTTGGATCATCACTATTCTAGATCTGAGGTAGCAACATTAGATCTAACCTCCAAACTCAAGATAGCACTAGATATACACCCAAAAATCCCACAAATGATAGATCTAGATGGATAACAGCTCATGCAACGAATCATTACCTCAAAAGAAGGCTCCAACAGAAGAATAAGTCAAAACCTTGATAAGCCCCTTGCTCCAAGCCTCTTAATCTTCAAAGATCTCTTCAACAAACACCCCTTCAAGATCCAAATGTTCTCTAATTCTATCACAACGAATATTAGGGTTTCTGGACTTCAAGGGAGAGCAAAGAGGCTAGGGAGAGGGTATCATGTTCTTTATATAGGGTCAAATCCCTGGGATTAGGGTTTTCTCCACACAGCACCAACTCGCCGAGTCTAGCCACCGACTCGCCGATTTGGCCACTAGACACGCGACCAGAATCGTGACCCTACTCGCCGATTCTACCCATAGACTCGCCGAGTTGATCATACACATTTTCACTTTAAACCCTAAACTTTGCACCCCTGAACTCAGGATGTTACACTATGACCTATCCTATTGCCTTAAGGTACTCCTTTTAGCTTGTTAGGTGTGTATAAACTTGTCGAGTTGCATGCGGGAAACCTCGACGAGTGGTTTCAAAGTTTTGATCGCGAGCCTTAAGAACTCGACAAGTCATTGTGGTGACTCGGCGAAGTAGGCGAGTATTAAAGAAACTCGACGAGCAGCTGAGGATACTCGACGAGTTAAGGTCAACATGGACTGTTGACCTTGATTGATGACTTTGACTTTGACCACGAGTTGACCCGTTGATTTTTGAGGATAGTTTTGGAAAGATTGGAGATTTATGAGTTTGGTTCGTAATAAATATAGGTGGTGGTGTTCGTGTCAGTGATCCGAGAGTTTGAGCTTATTCCTGCGAGTCGGCATTGCAAGGTGAGTTATCCTCACTATACTCAAGGGTCTAAGGCACCAAGGTCGGCCCTTTGGAATGTATCTGGTTATGTTATGCTAGAATGATCTGCTAGATCGATACTTTAGAGGGTAGGATAATATTATATGATATGTGGTATGAATTGTTAGATCAGTATCCTAATAGATATGATGATATGATGAGTTATGTGGTAAGAACTGTTAGATCAAAATTGTATGTAGACTGTTATGTGATAATCTATTATATGCGAAGACCAATAGACCGGGGCATTCCAACCTATTGGTTGAGGGACTAGGGTATTCCATCTCAATGATGATTGGACCCATAGTGTGTTGGCATTCCAACCTGCTGGTTGAGGGCCTAAGGTATTCAAACCCGATGGTTGACTCGACCCATTGTATACTGTGTTTATGTTAATATGTATATTTGTGAGTATGAGTATTTCGGGGGAACTCACTAACCTTTCGGGTTTACAATTTCAGTTTATTGTTTCAGGTACATTAGGGGATCGAAGCAAGACAAAGGCGTTATCGTACTGCTCTTCACATTTTGATATGTATTCTGGGAAAACTTTGATAAATACTATTTTGAAACAAACGTGTAGTAACTATTGGTTTTTAAATGTTTTTTGAAAATTTAAATTTGGCTTAAATTTTATGGGTGTTATATATAGGTTAATAAGAAATAAAATAATAATGAGTTGAATGGTGGTGTGAAAAATTGTTGATACATATTTTCGAAATCCGTTGTTAAGTTTAACACATGTATAGAAAGGTGGGGCGTTTGAGAATCCGTTAGAGCTAAAAATGAAAATAGAATGAATGTGTGAATTCTTTTTCAAATGTTAATATGTATTAATAGGAAGTAAATAGTATATAATAACTCGAATTTATCTATTCAACAGTTAAAAAAGAAAAAGAAATGGAAGATATAATGTAGCGTTGTTCCACCCATCGCAACAGTTAAAAAAGAAAAAGAAAGGGAAGATATAATGTAGTGTTGTTCCACCCATCGCGGGACTCTTGAGCGCAGGCACCACTCTAGCCGACAAGGTGTTCCCGATGGTTGTCGCTACTCCACTTCAAACACCCTTACGTTGTGGTCCTTGTATATCATATAGCCTTAAGCCAAAGGGAGCGGGCTATCACTTCCCTCACTTCTTCATTGTAACCTCTTTGCAACATCATTTTCCCCTTACATTCCCCTCACCCGATATAATGGTGGATATAGAAGATTCCCAAGGTGGCTAGTGCAGCCCCTCAAAATTTAAACACGACATAATATTTTTTGGAAATTTTCTAACGTAATGTAAATATTCTGCATCCGTTGGTTACTCCCCTCACCCCTCACTACTAGGAAATAATCTAGTACCACTCCCCTCATAGTATGCAACATTACAATGTTGTGTTATAGAATAATATAAAACATGAAGGAAAAAAAAAGTGTGGAATGGATTGTTAGGAGAGGGGGTTGGTTTACCGAACACCACTAGGTGTAAGGATGAGCAGTTTGTTTCAAATCTCGATCCCGTACCGGTACCGTATTGGAACTGGTAACGAACCGTACCGAATTTGAAAAGATGGGACGTTACTTGGTACTCCAAATACATGAAATTCGAGAATCGGTAAAACCGGTACCATTCCCGGTACCGGTACCGGTTATGTTAATTTCGTTCGGTATTCGGGATTGACTTTTGACCAAATTCGGTTTTCGTAAACGGAACGGATCGGTACGGATTCCGTCCCACGCTCATCCCTAATTAGGTGTGGTATCCCCTTATGATCTTTTATATAAACCCACCGCATGGTGGTTTGGGTGGTATCCCCTTATGATCGTATATTAAACCATTTCATCACATTACCATGATTCGCACCTTAAATTAGGATTAGTTAGCATACCACATTACCAGAAAATAAAAGTCAAGTTCAACCCACCATAACCATACACTTGGTTTATTTACCTTTTAAACACAGGTTTATTTAGCTTCATCCAAAGGGTCAGACTCAGACCGCCTTCTCTTTGGCTCATTATCTCCCAAATGAAGCGAAAACCCTAAATCCTCCTCATCCGTCCCGCTTTTCAAGGCACTCAGATTCTCAGACTCAGCCCTACACCGCCTCTCATTCCTATGCAACGGCGACTGCCCATCGAAACTCGGAATAAACTGATGCTCCTCAATACTTTGCCCCACCTCCAAATTGCTTGCATTTTCCGCCGGAGACAAATTCATATCCGGGCCGCCGCCGCCGCCCTCTTCCAAAGGAATATGCTGTTGGATATGAAGCCCTAACGGCTCCGCTTCATCTTTAGGAAGCACTATTTCCGGCGGTGAAGATTCCCCACCGCTTGACCCCATCACCGTTGCTGAAGCCGCCCTTTGCTCTTGCACCGCCGCTGTCCAATTCAAAAAAATCAACACAAAAATGAAAAATTCCGATACTAAAAGCAAAAATAGATTCAAAGAAACGAATTATATAACCTTTTAGTGCATCTCCGGTTGTTATTAGATCAAGTTCAAGGAGATTAAGTAAGCGGCCAAGGTCAACGCCGCTTGTCCAATTTTCCGGCGGTTGACCGACTTTAAGTTTAAGTCTTCCCCTATTCGCTGTCCCACCCCATATGATCCCGATAGGCCTTGCTTTTGGCTTCTCTTCGTTCTCCTCAGCTTTTAAGACAATCAGACTTCCACTATCGCCTTCAAGGTCAAACGTTTGCTGGTTTTCTCCAACAACAAGAAAATCAGTAAAGAAACAAATACCCTTTTCGTCGTTATATTCAAGGGCATAAGCCAAGATTGTTCCTTTAGTCAACCCTGAACTCCTCCCAACTTTCATCACTTTTTTACCAATAAGACTATTGATAGGAGATTGCAAATCAACGATTTTCACATCTCCAATCTCCCCAACGTCTTTTACACATGTTGTTACAGTCGACATGTCAAAATCATCACTGAAAGGGATGAACGCCCCATCAGCTCTGACGAAGGTCTCTGCATTTGCACAAGAAGCAAACATGAGTCAAGTAACCAGGGTTAATGGTAACGATAATGTTGATAGGGCTAGGGCTAACCTGGGTTAATTCCAGCAAAGATACCATACCAAAGATCATCTGTGATAAATGAAGTAGCTCTTTCGACTGCACCGAGATATATCCCAGGTCCAAGTGTAGGTGGTAAAGGATGAAACATTTTCTGATTTGGGTAATCTAGATTAACTGCCACGTGGCGGTTTGTGAGAAAACCAACTTGTCTGCTGCCTGTTTGGCTTCTCACAATAGCTCCCAATGTGCCATATGTTTCTTGGCTTGCTACCTTAAAAAGAAAAGAGTTTGGATTAGAAAAGCAGCTCTTTTTAAGAGTAAAATGACTAAAATACTAACAAACTAGGATTTTCTAGCGTTTTTGAAAACTTTATTTTTTTCTATCCAAAAAGTTGTTTTAAAAGGCTTTTTAAAAACACAAATATTTTTTAGCTTGAAAAGCTATTAAGCTATTTTCAAAAGCTGTCGGCCAGCTATTTAATTCACTGTGTCTGCAATGGGTCACTCCAGATTTTTTAGTACATCTATTGTGCTCGAAGTTTTTAATAGTTATCAAATAAATCATTATATGATATTTATCATTGTTTTGTATTTAAATTAGCATGTCTATAACTAGTAACTTTTTTAATATACAACTAGATGTGAGACCCATGTATTACATGGATTTATTTAAAAGAAAAATTAAATATGAAATTCTAAACATTTGAAAAGTTTAAACTTATAAGAAAAGTGAAAAAAATATTGAATTATTAAAATTAAAGTGTTTTTTTTTTCTCTTTTAAATGTAAACATTTAGATAAATAAACACTGGAAACTAATGAGACTTTAATTTAATAATTTTGAAATTAAAAAGAAAATCCATTAGTAAAATTGAAATGCATTTATTTTTATTTATTACATTTAAATATTATATGGAAGTTAATAAAATAGAAAAACCATAAAATAACGTGAAACAAAAGTAATAATAAAAAGTCATGTGGCATAATGAATTAGAAGATGACAAGCGGTAAAATCATTTGTATTTATTAGGAAGTATGTTGTAATAAGACCGAATGCTACATGAACAAATAAATAAAGTATATTATGGTTTCCTTCCTACTTTAAGAGATAAACAAAACACAACTACATATCAATAACCAAGTATTACTTATTTTTAATAAAATTAATTTTTGTATACTGATTGTCAATAACCAATTATTCTATGACTATATTTGGTTGGCCTAGATTTTTGTCTACATTATTGACCCCTAAATTATTTTTTATGTGATAAGATACAAACAAGCTACAGTCGGTTATATTGGTGCATCTAATATAAAATTTAAAAAAGTTATGCACAACAAAAAAAAAAAAAAAAAAAAAAAAAAAAAAAAAAACAGTAGTTTTGATATACTACCTGAGAACCAGAACCGATGCATGAGCCACTTCCACGAAGGTCATCCACAATATCAGTGTACAACTGTTCCTTGGTTGTTGGTTCAGGTGCACCAAAGTAAGAAAACTCCACAACATCCACATCACACCACACACTCCCGGGTCCCTGAAAAATAATTACATCGATACACAGAATATGAAAGATGAAGAATCAATCATAGGGAAGAATTGGACCTCAAGAATAGTTGGTAGACACTGAATAGGGCTTAGCCATTGCTTATGAACTTTTCGGGAAACAAAGACTAAGATCGCAGGTATATCAGTCAACACACCCCTACGAATCCTAAACCCAATCGCAGTTCCAAGACTATAACAACGCAAGATCTTACTGTGAGACGCACGAATAGTCATCAACTCAAGCAAAGTGGTAGCTTGGTGCCCTTTAGGCAACCTGCCTATAGATTCAGGCAAAACGCCCTTTTGTAAGTTTACAAAATAGTTTGTTCTCTCTTCAGCAGCGTCACTTAGTCGGCTGGAGGTAGGCCACGAAAAGTAAGCAGCGTTGCTCTCTGAGTGCTGTCCACCTGATGCGTAGGGTTGAAGAGTTTGTTGCTGTTGGTGTGCGTTTGGAAATGAAGGGGGATTCGAGTGGGAGTGGCTGTAACATGTTTTCTCCAAATCCAAAGCTGATTCCTCTGATGGTGTTGAGCCAGATGAACGTACTCTCATATTCATATTCGTGTTCATGTTCATGTTCACTCCTGCTGGATCCATATCACCTTCTTAACCTATTACCCTGTAACTGTAACTAGAAGACATGTATGTACACAGATGTTAAAAAGTCTCACATTTATACAAATCATTTATGTGGAAAATCCAAAACTTGTACTTGTATCAACACTTGAAGTCGTTCACAAAAATAACATGTCAGTGCATTCAAGAACGATTACACAAACTGGAATATACCTTATATGTAACGATTACAGCAAAGGGAATATCTTGATCAATTTAAATCAGTGAATGTTATCTAGACCTCTTAACAATTCAATATCTAGATCAATGGACTACGTATCATCCTACTGCTTTTAGAATCCTAAAAAGGATAAAAGATAGCTGAATCTGAAAGCAATTTTGCATGATGATTCCATTATTTTCTAGAAGCGGATGCCCTGTTTATCACTTAACTACTCAAAAAAAGTGTTCAAATTCAAGAACAAAACTGAATTAAAGTTCTGTGAAATTGGATTGCAAACAAACTGGAGCATAACAATGCATGAGTCTCTAACTAAAAATTAGAGAAATTAAGAGTCTGCATTACAAATGCTTCCATGCAATGCATAACGATAAATCAATGGACAAAGATGAATTTTAAACCATAACTTGACGACAGCTATGTGATGTTGTATTAAGAGCTTCAATTACAAGTAATGTGCTTCAGATTAACAGTAAAAAAAATTGAAATGCATAAACAAAAATATAACACAAAATATTAAGAAACAAACAAAATCGAAGAAATCCCAGTAATATGCAACTCAAAGAAACAAACAAAACATTATAAAAATCTCAAACTTACCCCAAAAAATTGGGTTTTTTTATTGAAAGATAAAGATGGTTCGAATGATACTAAAAAATCGAAGAAATCCCAGTAATATGCAACTCAAAAAATGAAGAACCCTAACCTAAAACTCTTACCAAACGAGTTCAGCAGGATGCTGGCGACGGGAAGGAAGAAAAGGAGGTTAGCAAGGAGAAAGAAGGTCTGACGCCGGCGAGGGTGGAGAAAGCAGTGGCGATGGCGGCGAGGAGAAGGAAGACCAACCGCAGCGACGGGAGGGGAGCCAGTGGTGTCTTTGACCAGAGTATCTGAAGAGCTTGTATTCGTGGCAAATAAAGCAATTAACAGGCAGAATTCCAGAAAACATGCGAAGATCGAGCAAGAACAAAATCGGTAATCAAGTAAAAAACAAAAGAACTCACTAATTGGGAAAGAGATTCTGAGTGGTCTTTTAGTTGAATCTTTCTTAATACGTTTTAGCAAGGTCATCGGCCAGTTGTCGAATTTCTATTGTAATACAGAAAAGTTGTATTAATTGTATAAAGATGAAAGTTTAACACCTGCGCGACTGGGCCTGGCTTTTCAGTTTTGAATATTGAATTTGAATCGTAAGATGAATGTCTTGGGCATTGGGCCGAGTTAACTCATCCACCAAGACAACTGGCAGTGGCAGTGTCACTAACATCATGTATAAATGACTTTTGTCAGGCTTTAAATTCATTCATGCCACCCGAAAAAATCTACACCTATATGTAATTCAAGTGTTATCAATGATAATAAGATGTGTTGCTGAAAAAAAAAATTACTAATTTAATATAGGTTCTAAAACATTTATAGTGTTTTTTATTTTTCTTGTAATTTTCATTTTTTAAAACTGTTATTATTTTACCTTACTATCAGTTTTTTTTTTTTAATTTAAGTTCTTTTAATTTTTTTTCTAAGAATATTAGTTTTTTATTTACTTTAATTCAAATTTCTGTTTTTTTAGTATATTTTTAACATAATATATAAAAAACACATAATTTCATAGAAAAATTGAGAATACTCTGAACCTTTCTTAGAAGCAAATTGAGAACAAAATCAATGTTCTCATCAACATAGTTATGCTTCTAGACTAGTATTATTTATCATAATTATAGTTTTCTCATCCAAAAATCTAGAATGCACATAAGCTCATAATTGACGCTTAACATATTTCAAACATTTTTTCTGTACAGAAATCTCATTCCCCATCCAACTCAAGAAAAGATATAAGTAGGCATATTGCAAAAATGTATAATTTTAAACCAATAAATTTATTAGAAACAACTAAGAAAGTATTTCAACCATCTTCCTTTAAGAATTACAATTTTCAAAACTAAAGGTTATATATTTAAAAAAAAATGTATGTACTTATTATATAAAACATCACAATTACTAGGGGTGTACACAAAACCACATAAACCGCCCACACCGCACCGTATAATGCGGTTTTCAATGTTCGCGGTGCGGTTCATGGTTTGTAGTTTTTGTAAACCACAATATGTGGTGCGGTTTGTGGTTTATGCTTACCCAATCGCGGTTCAAATTGCATCGCACCGCATTATATATATATATATATATATATATATATATATATATATATATATATATATATATATATGTGTGTGTGTGTGTGTGTGTGTGTGTGTGTGTGTGTGTGTGTGAAAGACCCACACTTTCATACTAAAGACAATTGTTACACCAAGTTATTCCAAAACATACTACTTGCATATTCATAAATAATATTTTACATTGATAATTTGGTTACATAAGACTGGATACAAACCAACCATTACAAAGTATTATATATTACATAACTTACCAGGATACTATAATTTTATACATACGGGAGTACAAAATATAATAGTTTCAAACTATTCAAAATCTTCTATCAGTATATAACTATATTGGATGCTTATTGCCTGCAATTGTTAAACATTGAGAGGGTAAGTAGTGACGCTTAGTGAGTTCAATAATAGATACAATATAACATTATGCCATACATATACTTCAATATGGCAGAAGTAAAGAGGAACAAGGAACAATAACGTCATATGTGAATCATGCGACAAGCTCTCCATATCAATCAATGATTTGATTCAATGATATACAATCAATGAGACATAACAATTTTCATACTTGATTCACATCAATAATGCTTCAGCCCAAATGGCACCGAAGACATACAATTTCGGATTATCACTTTGTTAGAATATACAGGCTTTCAGCCCTACATAGCCTTATGCCAATACTAGAAGTTATACGAGTCATGCTCTACATGGCCAAATGCACAAAGCCAATACCAGAATAATACGAGACATGCTCTACATGGCCAAAGGCATAAATCCGGTACTAGAATAATACGAGACATGCTCTACATTGCCAAAGGCTCAAAGCCAATACCAAAAGTGATACGAGACATGCTCTACATGATCAATGATATAAAAATCATAATAACACAGGAAAGCACATAGCACACAAAACATACAATTGTTCCTATATATTGAACTCATCGTGAAATAACCGGGGTTAAAATAGTAATTTGGACAACACTTCGTTACTATAGTTAACTTTCTTTGATAAAAACTAGGAGCTTTCTTGAAAACTGGGTCTTGCGAAGGTTGAGCTTCAAACCGAAAAGATAAATTTCTCGGGCTCTTCGGACACTTCGGGGCGTGTTTCGGGTGTTGGGAATGATCCCGAGGCTTCGGGGATGTAAAATAGCTTAAAAGAGGTTTTAGGGGTGAAAAATGTCAAATTTCCAAACTTAAACCGGGAGGTCTTGCACCTCCTTTATATAGGTGAAGCTTCGACCAGAAGAGGGGGGGGAGGGGGGAAGAGAGAAGCACATGGTTGTTCGCAGGCGAGGAGAAGGGAACGTGGTTGGCATGTGAGGGCGCCAGGCATCAGATGCGAGGCGAGGACAAGTGGCTTGTGCGAGGCGAGGACACGCGGCTGACTTGCAAGGCACGCGTCATCAGCGAGGTCTCCGGACGCGCCACGACTTCGACACGCAGCAGCAGCAGCAAAGCGAGGCGACGTGGCCGAAGTTGAGCCATGCGAAATTCCTCGGTTTTAGCATTTTTCTCGATTTTTGTGTCCCAAACTTCTAAAATCCATAATTTTCGCATACGGGCTTCGTTTTTGACGTTCTTTATATGCAACACATAGGTGAAATTATGCTCTACAACTTTTGTTCAGACTTCTTCGGTTAATTTTGACTTTATTTTTAATATTATTATTTTTAACAGACCGGGACAGGAAAATCCGTTAAAAATTCATAACTTCTTCATCTGAAGTTCGTTTTCGTTAGTCTTTTTACCGTTGTACTACTATTAACGAGACCTTCGATTCTCGTTTAGGTTGTGTCGGCTAAAAATCACTCGATCTTTATTTCGAGTTTTTAGTTGTCTACTTCTATTCTGAAACGTAGAAAAATCATAACTTCCTCATATGAAGTTAGATTTAGACGTTCTTTTTATGAAAATCATCGGTTTAACGAGTACTACGACTTTCATTTAGATCACTAAGGCTACAAAGTAGTTTATCGAAATCTCACTTTTTATGCTAAATAATGTTTGTCGGTTTTGTCGCGGATCTTCGATTGGTTATAACTTCTTCGTTATAACTCGGATTTCGATAAGGTTTCGCCTAAATGTTTCTAACAAGATTCTTTACAACTTTCAATAATAAAATTTTACTTATTTCAAATTTTATATTTTCGTGAACTTTCAATATTTGACATTTGATTGGAATCTCATAAAACTTCCAATATTTTCTGAGTGATTCTAAACATAGTTTTACTTCATTTCTAGTAAAAAAAATTCTGTTAGAACTCAATACTTAAATTTCATATAATATTTCATAATATTATTCATTACAAAACACGAAAACTAAACGTGTATGTTAGAACGTATATATATATATATATATATATATGTGTGTGTGTGTGTGTGTGTATGTGTGTCTATTATATATATATATATATATATATATATATAGAGAGAGAGAGAGAGACACACACACACAACAAATTCTAACAAATGCAAAATCATAGCAAATTGGTCGCTAATTGTGACATCCCCAATTTCACAGCTAGAAAAGACCGATTTGTTTATGTTTTGTTTTAAAAATCAGAGTACTTCTTTTATTACAAGTGTTGCGGAATTTGTTCCCAAAATATGATAAAGATTTATCA